CAATGCTATTAAAAAGTTTTGCTCCTTTTTCCACACAAGTCATTGTCAAGTTCAGAAACTGAGTATTATAGGAAAAACTAAAGGTGGCATTTTATTAATATTCTTGGCACACAATACACTTCTTTCCCTAGAATTTGTATTTTAACTAAAGAGGACAAATCATTATTTTCCATAAGAACAACAAAAATAAGTTAGCCTGGTAGTATAGGGTGGATTTCCACATAATAAAAGACTTGTCTAGTTAGTATTTTTTTTGGGGGGGGGGGTCTTTTTTGAGACAGGGTCTCCCTGTAGCTCCAGCTGTCCTGGAACTCACTATGTAGACCAGGCTGGCCTTGAACTCACAGAGATCCACCTGCCTCTGCCTCCCAAATGCTGGGAATAAAGGCATGTGCCACAACACCCAGCTTAGTATAGTATTTTTATCAAAATGTGTGACCCACTTGATAGAAACAAACTTCTGATCTACCTGTAATGCAGCAGTGTCTCTCAAACACAAGTAGAGGAAAAGATCTACATGTTTTCAAACATGTGAAGTGACCTTCTACTATCAGTTTGAATTAGTAGACAAGAAGCCCGGGGCCCTCCTTGACTCCTCTTCGTCTTATACCCATACCACACCCACCAAAAATTCTGTTTGCACAGCTTTCAACATTTATTCAGAATCTTACTGTGCTTTCTCCAACTCTTGTAGAGTACCCAGCAAAGGCCCAATATCCTTTTATTATTCTGCTCACTCAGTATGCTCCCCGCCTCTGCTGGTGACTGAGGGGATGTAATGTCAGGCCCGAGCCTTTTCTTCAAAAGCTCACAGGTACTTTACTGTAACTCTTACATTACATAAAACCTTCCCAAATGGACTTAACTTTTTCAACACATAAACATACTTTTTCTCATGAAATCTCCATGATCTTTTAACCAGTTTCTGATAAGCCTCAATGTGTCACTCCTCTAAAAATATTGACCAATTCCCATTTCCTCAGAGTAAAGGCTGAAGGCCTGGGTCTGGAAAGATGGTTCAGTGGTTAGGAGCACTTGCTGTTCTAGAGGACCTTGGTTCAGTTCCCAGCACCCACATGGCAGCTAACAACCACCCATAACTCTAGTTCCAGTGGATCCAACACCCTCTTCTTCCCTCTGTTGATACTTACATACATGTGGCACACTCATATACATGCAGATAAAACACTCAGATACGCAAAATAACAAAAACAACAAAAGCTGGAGGTCTTTCACAAATTGTCCCCAGCTGTGCCCCTCTGACCTCATCTGCCATACTGACCTCATAAATGCCACAACTACCACAAAAATCCTCCTCAGCACACTCCTCAAATAATTTAGGCAGGGCTCTAGGGCACACTTTTAATTCCAGAGCCTTGTCTATTACCTGGTTGGGATATTTCTCCCATAAATAGCTACACAAGTTATTTCCTCATGTCTCATTTAGATTTCTGAGTGGACACTAAAAAAACAGTCATTTACATTTTTATTTAAAATTGTATCCCTCACATGTATGAACAATAGCTTTTAAATTATTTTATTTTTATTCTATTATCTAGTATACAATTATTGTTAGTCTCCATTTTTAAGAGTGGAAGCTTGAGGGCAGGAATATTTATTTTCTTCGCTGATAAAGTCTCAGCACCTAGGACCATGTCTACCACATGTAGGTGCTTGGTAAGTATTTCTGAAATAAATGGTTTTACTGATCCTTTTAAAGACCCAATATAGTTGCTTTTGTCTCTCTAGAAGTGAAGAGGTGATCTCCAGAGGTCAAGATAGACAATTTAGCATTTCATTCTCAAAGAATAAATTTAAAAATATTACATTTAAAAAGACTATTTAAATATGTATTTAAGGTCAATCTCATTCTAATCCTTTTTCCAATATTTGGCATTAGCTATCATAACAAATGCAAAAGTCAATCATTAAGAAAAGAAATGAGGAGTACTATAGTCTGTATTTTTATGCTATTATCACCATTCTAAGTGAAAAGTGTCTATATGAATGGATCGGGTCTTTATACATTCTTAAACTCTCTTTCATGGGCTTTGTAGCTTAAGTTCTAAAATGACTTAACACAGTTCTTTTTTCATAGTAGCAAACAGCTGGTCACACATTTCCTCTCTTTCAACTTCAGTTACTTTACCTTGTGAGTTTTTCTCAGGCTCACTCAAAAGACTTGGTAGTCTTTCCTCACATATTTAAAAGTTTAAATGACCTATTACTGTTTTTTTTCCTTATGCCGTGACTAGCAAAGTTCTGACTCTCATAAATTGTGATGCTACCTGCCCATCCAAAGTGTTATAGTTATGGGCTGGAGAGATTGCTCAGCGGTTAAGAGCACTGGCTGCTCTCTTGTAGAGGACCCATATTCAGTTTCCAGCACCCACTAACAATCATCCATAACTCCAGTTCCAAGGGGTCTGACTCCTTCTTTTGACCTCTATGGACACTGCACGACACAGGTGCACTTACATACATGCAGGCAACAGACTCACACACATAAAATTTTTTTAAAAAGAAGTGTTGTGCTTGTTACTTAGCAGTGCTACAAATCAAGCCTAAGGTTAGGAAAGTGTTCTACTACTGAGGTACACCCCCAGGTCAGAAATCACTTTAAAGGAGGAAAACAACTGATAACAACTCTGGCTAGCTTAGTTGTGGGAAAACGAATGAGCCTAAGTACATCTCAAAGGAATGAAAATTAACAACTTTTGACAAATCACCAATTACACCACTATCTTACAGAATTTTGGAAAGGAGTTAATAATATTACATTATTTCTTACAATACCTAGTAAACTGACATAATCCAAATATTTTATAAAAAAGGAAATTAGGGGGCTGGAGAGATGGCTCAGCAGTTAAGAAAACTGGCTGTACTGGAAGAAGACCTGGGTTCGAATCCCAACACCCACATGGCAGCTGACAACTAACTGTCTGTAACTCCAGTCCCAGCAGTCCTGACACCTTCCTTCTGTCCTCTGTGGGCACTGCATAACATGGGTGCATTTACATACATACATGCAAGCAATACACACATACATATAAAATAAAAATAAATATTTAAAAAAGGAGACTAATTAATTACACATAAAATACCATGCAGCCATTATAATTATGATTGGCACTTGCACTTATTAACATACTAAGAATGTTATAATACTCTCTGTTAACTCACTCACTATTTCTAAGGAATAAGACCCCTGTATTTCAATTACACAAACAAAAAATTTTTAATGTATATATGTAATAAAAGTTTTAAAGATATAACCAAAATATCTTGTGACTATTTGTATGCATTACCTTTTTCCATTAAAGCAAAAAAAAGCAAAAAAAAAGTGTGGGGAGGGAGACGGCTCTGTGGGTAAAGTTACTTGTTGAGCAAGTATATGGTTCTGAGTTCAGATCTTCAGCATCCATGTCAAAAGCCTTGAGTGCTGGCTCACACCTGTAATCTAAGCACTGAGAAGCAGAGTCAGGAGGATTCCTGGAGCTTGTTGGACAGCTCGTCTAGCTAAATAGGTGAGTACCAGGTTCAATGAGAGACTGTCTCAAAAACTAAAGTGAAAGGCAATAGAGGAAAACACCTGATGCTGACCTCTGTCCTCCACATGTGCATGTATGCATTCATTCGTATACAAATATGCAAACATACATACACCCTACACATGTGGAAACAACAACAAAACAAAGAATGCATCAATGAATTCTAATTCTTTGTAGAACTAAATAATCTCGATTTTTCTTTCTTTTTTAAAAATATTTTTATTTATATTTTACGTGTATGAGTGTATTGCCTGCATATATGTGAGTGCACCCATGTTGTGCAATGTCACAGAGGTCAGAAGAGGGCTTCGGATTCCCCTGGAACTGGAGTTAAAGACGGTTCGTAGCCACCATTGTCTTTTTTTTTTTAAATGTCTTTTTGAGACAGGGTCTCCCTATACCTCCAGCTGACCTGGAACTCACTAGGGAGACCAGGCTGGCCTTGAACTCACAGAGATCTACCTGCCTCTGCCTCCTGGGTGCTGGGACTAAAGACGTGCACCACCACACCCGGCTATAATCTCAATTTCTAATGTGCCTATGATCAGGGAATTTTTAAGAGCTCAATGTAAACTTCCAACTACCAGGTGTTAAAACTGAAGGAGAAAAAGAACATGATTATTTTTCTGAATTTATCTTACCCTTTTAAAAATAAAGTAAACATTATCTAAGATATTAAGAAATGAATTTAAGCAACATTAGTTGAAGGTACCTCAAAGTTTAAATCTTATTAATAAGATCATACAATGTGAAAATTCAGGTCTCTTCCCCTTCAGCTTCTGTAGGAAATATATTTATTATTCACAAGAATGCCCTAAAGTAGCTTCTGCACTAATTTCTCTCAAATACAACTTTGGAAAACAGAAAAAGTTAAAAATAGCCAAGCATGGTGGTGCACACCTTTAATCCTAGTGCTCAGAAGACAGAGGCAGGCGGATCTCTGTAAGATCCTGGCCAACCTGGTCTACATAGTGAGTTCCAGACCAGCTCTGGCTACAGGGAGACCCTGTCTCAAAACAAAAACAAGCAATCCATGTTTGATTGCATGATTTTATAATATTTGGCAAATGATGACTTTTTTCTATTATTTTAATATTTGCCAAATTTTACTTGCTTTTAAAATACTTAGCACCTAAAAAAAAGAAAAAAACAGCACCTATATATATGTGTATATATATA